CTTCCCCCACCTCTTGAACTTGAAGACTACAGGCCTGGATTACAAGAAAGACGACATGGAGACCAGGATTCACAACTTCGTCATGGATGCGAGATCGTCATCACTCAGTCTGTTAGAGCCAATAATGAACAGGCATCCACTGAAAACTGCACTGAGACGTGTTGTACGCTATATAACACAACTGAACTTACTTTTTATTTACTTAACTTCTGTTGACTAGTCCTCACTGTGTCCCTGTGTCTTAACATCCAGTGTCTCTCTTTACCCAGTTGTAGAACTGGGACTAGACTAGCACCACATCCAGGGGAGAGTGAATGTCCTCAGGGTTTCAGAGTAACCTGGGACTAGTCTAGACTAGTGCCCTATCTAGGAAGGGTGAATGCCCTCAGGGTTTTAGACCTAGGACTAGTGTAGGGGGGTGGGGGATTTAGAATTGAGACTAGTGTAGGGGAGTGGGAGGGCATCCTAGGTGCTAAGTCATAGTAAGTGCTCCTAAACTCAAGGTAATGGGAAACATGCTGAGTAAAAAGAGGGCCACAGTCCATACAGTGAGTCACAGGGTGCTCTAGCAGAAGGCCACAGTCCATACAGTGGGTCACAGGGTGCTGTAGCATGTATGCTGGCACAGTCAGTCTCGGCCAGTGCAGCTGAACTCCTAATACATGGAGACTTCATTTCTTCATAATGCATTAGTCTATTTCTACAGGCACAGCAGTTTCATCTAGACTTGTCATTACAATTATCAAAAGGCAGATATTATCTAACCAAACCATGTGTCAATGAAGAAATAGCAGTCACACTAGCCTACTGCGTATCGATGTTCCAAATGTAAGACACAGTCAGAAACAGTACACCTGATATAAATAGTGACTGATGTCCTGATATCCTATGAAAATAATTAGGGCCTGCAGCCCACAATAGTAAAGTAATAACAAAACAGTGCTATTTCTGGAGCGTAATTTATCACTTTCCATATGCCGCTGTGGATAGTGGGCATGGCCCAGGGAGCTGCTGGGAGGATATATTATTCAACATGGTAGACTCACATCAATATAACAAACTAAACTGGCATTTTTATTTAAGCTCATAATTCTAGTAAATCAAAATCATTTAGAAACATTCTAATGTAAAAAAGAGGGTTATTTACACATTTTCACATTTTCTAACAAGAATTGGATGTTTAGCAAGAAAACCGATTTGCCAAAATGTGCCTTGGTGTACATTTTGTACATTTTTATTTCAATTAAAATTTTAATTGTTATTTTAGCAAATCAAATTCATATAAAAATATTTGTGTAAAATAGCAAGATTTTTACAAATCTTATCTGGCTAGACTAAGGGCTTTGGCAAGACATTTGATAAGCTGAAATGAACCTATGCTTTTTGCACAATCTGATCCTTTACTTCCTTCTTCCTCAATTCTTTAACTAGAATAACATTTGAAACACAAATAATGCTAAATCTCACAAAAGGTAAAGGAAAGACCTTCAGTACCACCCAAAAATAAATTTCTAAATATAGATCTGTACATTTTTTCAAACTGAAACCTTCATTCACTTCTCAAAAATCAAATGAATGGTGCAGCTCTTACTAAATGTTTCCATTATTTGCTTCATAGTCAGACCAGTAGGCAAGGTGAAGGAGTTGGGAAGAAGGGGGCAGGAAAAGTCTGAACTGAATTCAAATTTGATCATGTTTTATGTCTTTTTTCAAGCTGAGTGAACTTGGGAGATCAGGAAGTTTGGAAGATGGACCTTCATTACAGGTTGAACATATACGGTGATTACTCAATCTATTCAATGGGGATAAATGATCAATCTTTCAGGTACATAATTCAAAAATTGTAAAAATTATATTTCTATATAGCATTTATGGAGCCTTTACTGCATAGTATAGAACCATAGAGTACGCAAGATGCTTTTTAATTTTCTTGTTACCACTCAATAGGTATGTTCTAATTTTAAGAAATTACGGGTTTAAAAATACAGTACCTACAAATTAACAATTTTCCCAAACTGAAACGACAGAGTAATTCTGGGGGGAGGGGGGGGGGGGGCAGCAGCACCACTAGGAACATTAATGGCTATCTCACCCCACTCAGTACAACAGAGTACCCTAGCTAGCTGGTGAGAGTCTTAGCTATGCCCTGAGCTGCCACCAGCACCTCATCTAATCACAGCCATTAGGCAGTTAAAAATGGCCCTCTGCTCCATAAATTATGTAAACTATGCTAAATATGTCCTCCTTGTTGCTATTTTTATCTGCACTACACTTGACCTCCTGTTAACAAGGCCACTCTCTCATTCATTTTTGTCATTTGTGATTCTGGAGTTTGAACCCACATCAAATTAGGCCAAATATAGTCAGCTCATATATTCAAAACTCCTCTTAAATAGGGGTAGGTCATGATTCTCTATTCTGATTCCCTAACTATGTCATGCTTCTTTAGAATTTGGTCCTGAATCTAAATGGCATTTTTTACTATTAATTAATTTTTTAAATCCACCTCGCATTTGTTGCTATGTACATATATATATATATATATATATATGATAATTTGGACGCAAAGGAGCAATACTCTCGGCTCTGTCACCCTTAAAACTGGGAAACGAAAACTGCAGTCCTATTCTATGCATCTTAAATTCCCAGGCGACTGAAGGTGAAATCTAAATGCGGCAATATCAAGAGATTATCTTGGCTCTTTTTTCAAACAAAGTTTCTGCCAAAAATACCAAACAAATTATGCATATCAAAAATCGGAACCAAATCAAAGAGACAATGACGAACAACATGTATCAAATATTAATGAATTTGTAGTGAACAGTTTTCCATGCCAGAGAAGACAAATTTTTTCTTATAGTTTGAAAAAGGTGCTATATTATCTTGCTATACCATAAAGATATAAATCCCATGTCTCCAAACTAGTAGAGCCTGCATCATATGGTCAAGTATTTGATATTTCTATTAGAGACATGCAACCAGATTTTAAGGCACAAGGCAAAAATGAGCGGAATGCTTATGAAGCGTTATTGCTCATATTTAATACTGTAGCTGAGAGCAGATAAAGTGGACAACAGTCAAGCTATGGTCACTAGTGTATCAAGACACAAGCAGAAGAACCCTTTTAAATGTTCATTACAATAATGAGTATTTGCCCAATACATCTGTATTATTTATTTCCAACAGCTTAGATATGTGATATGAGATGATGCGATGTTGCCACGGTAACAAGTACACTTCTGTCACACATCCTGAGTACAGATAATAATAGCTTGAGAGAAACACAGCAGAAATCTCGAGAAATCCTCAAGTGAATTACACTCCGTGTTGATCTGGCAATAAAGGTTCCAAAGGCAACTCCATCTCTCCCCTTTTCTTTCTTTTTTCATCCTCTCATAAAAGTCAACAGCAGTATTGTCAAATTACATTTATTATGTCTACAACTGGGTAATGATAGCAATGAGTGAGAAGCAGGCACCAAAACACTGAGCTGAAACAATCACACTGCCTGGCATAAAGTAGGACCAAACTTATAATCTGAGAGAGAGAGAGAGAGAGAGAGAGAGAGAGAGAGAGAGAGAGAGAGAGAAGTTCTCGACTCCGGAGCTGGTGTCTGAGCAAACCCTCACCCTACCACCAAATACAGGCACTCTTTTATCACTATGTTTCCCTTGGAATGGTAACAGGTTGTCAAAAACACCACTACAGGTTTTCGAAACTGGTACAAACCAGCCAAAAGCAGCCCATACACAGAGAAAAGAAACACAGCATAGCCATTCCCTGCACTATGGCAGCCATAAACTTAGGTCTGAGAGGCATCACTAAGGGACCCCTTGAACACTTTGACATAACCGTCTTACTAAAATAAACGAAATTTAATGGATCTAATGATACATTCAACAAAGTTTCATTCATGTACAATACAGGATTGTCTTTAAAAAGACCATTTTAAGGCCAATTACAAACTGAACAAGCCAAACCTATTAACTCATATACTACATTCCAATACCGGACTTTCCCAGATTTAGAAAAGAAAATCTCAACTGTCTGAAGCTGTAGTATAAAACAAATCATATAGCAGTCAGATCACCTCTATGAACAAGGGAGGGGGAAGAGAGGTGTTACCGTGAAGGATCCGGATAACTGTCTGCATTGTTTCACAAGAAAAACGGAAAAATGAAGTGTTTGTCTAAACAATTTATGTTTCTAAGTGAAATAACCAACTCTGTCCTGTGTGTCCCGGAAACGAAGTCTTGGTGACAAAGTGACAGCAATAGGTGTGCTATCACTGAGTGCATCACCATGGCAACTTCTTTTAACATCAGAGTCAGAGTTTCCTTTTAAAATTTGACTTTGAGATCATTCCTATGTTCCTTTGATATAGATTGTGGAGGACTATTCACCAAGAAAGTGTACCAAGGGCCTCCAAAACTGAATCTTAGGTAAATGTCAGACGCAAGACATAATTTTAGTCTCCTCTTGATTTCAAGCATCATTTTCAGACAAAGTTATAGTTGACCATTTTATGTGGAAAATCCAGGCATTGCTGTTGGTTGTTCTTGTACATAAAAAAATTTAAGTTCATGCAAAAATATAGTAATTAAACAGAATGGCAACAATATGCACATGTTTACTATGTTATCTTCAGCTGAAAGGAACAGACAATTTTGATGACTGAATCTTCAGATATGTAACCTTTCTATTGCAGGTGACAAGTCACACTGTAAACAATTATAAACTTGTCACCTTCATGTCATGCAGAAAAACAATTCTACTTTGGACAACATGTCACAGCTTTTCTCTGGCTTGATCCATCTTAAACAGTCTAATTATAAAGGGGGCATTTATTATTTATTTCTTTTTAAATTTGAAAAGAGTAATCTCAAAGAAACTGATCGGTATTTCTCTCCCTAAACTGAGTATATCACGTCCCTTACCTTCCCCAGCAACCCTTCAAAAAAACAATAACAAATTGGCAACTTCATAGTAATTCTACTCACTCTGTGTTATATCCATTGACATGCAAGATCTTCATCTGCTTGACAATTGTGGACTTTCCTGATTCTCCTGCCCCTGAAAAAACACGACATGGATATCTGTTAGTCGGCAGAAAGCCGGTGCAGTATGACGAAGGTAACAAATATCATGGCCGCCCACACGGCTACAAAACAAACCCACAAATACGATGCGGCGTCGATATTTAAGCGGTATTACTAACCCAATAAAAGAAGTCTATGTGTGGCCTTGTAGAGCTGTTTATCTTTCTGCAGCTGTTTTTCGATTTTCTTGTTATTCTCGCGTAATCTTTTCGCATCGTCGTCTTCTTTGGACCCCCGAATGCAGTTCCATCTTCCCATCATGTCAAAAATCGGGGGGAGCTCCGCTTCCAATAGACCGATCTTAGCGAGTTCCTAAATAAACACCAACCGATTGCCCGGCTCTCAAGTGCAGTCCAGCTTCTTTAAAGCATCTGGGGAGAGTGGAGCAGAAATCTAGGCCTTCGTTCTGGCTCCGTAGACACAAATCTTTCCTGTGTAGTCACCAGTCGGCCATTACATGTTTTAGGTGTGGTAAGGATTGTGGGAAAATATTTCATTCCACACCGAGGCTATCGCGTGTTGAAACTACTAGCGCCACACAGCGGACTCTAATACTGGGACTTTTTCAAGTGGAAATTCTACACGTACTGGTATTTCCTACCCTGGTTGCCTTTAATTTTTCTCACCCAACCCCGAGCATACCTGACCTTCTATATATTAAACTGGCTAAAACGTATATTTTTTCTCTCTTAATTACACAGGGCAACACTACTGTTCCCGCCTCTGCGTATTAGAAAACGCCCACCCTTTTCAAAGAAACTATACATAGCGTCACAGCACGCAAATAGTGGTGGCGTTTCGAGGTAGAGTCTTAAAAACAGACTTTATTTTTTGGTATTAGCCGCTGATTGTGGCTTATGATTTTACAAACTTCTAATTTTGTGATTCGCTTCAGACGATAAAATAATCTTATATAATAAGTCTTTTCGTTTTGTTTGTTCGTTTTGTTTACAAATTTGTTTGTTTGTTTGTTTGTTTGTTAAAGCCGGGTCAATTTTTTATAGTCTTCATACATAAATTGACTGAGACATTTTTCTAAAGTGAAAGTTTGAAACAAAATTGTTCATTAATTGGTGATAAAGTTTATATTCGTATAAATTTATAACTAGAACAGTCGTTATATATCCCGTTTTTGCCTTTTATTTAATTATTATTATTCTTTTTTCGTGACAGAATCCGTTCATTAAAATTAACCTTACATTACGATTTAATCAATAGAATACAGTGACTGTTGTTCTGACATTGAAACTTTTCATTTTCGACTGTTCCCGTATTAATTGTGAAGGGAGTGCGGTGTTTTCGCGTCATAAAGCTCTGTAGGGTGTGGCGAGTATAATGTACCAGGAAATAAACATTATCACATAAAGGAAAAGCTTTGAATTCAGTATCAGTTAAGATCTTGTATAAAATGGCCCATATTTTTTTCAAATTCAAACCTTCTACAGCAATAAATAAATAAATAAATAAATAAATAAATAAATAAATAAATAAATAAAAGTTTTTAAAAAAGTAAACAAAAAGCAGCGTTTCAAGCGTGTAGCCGGGGTGGGAAAATGAGCACCCAATTTCTACTTTTATTCCAGATTTATCGCGTCTTGGCGTTCATTTTACAATTTTAAACAAATTTTTTTTTATGTTATATTAACATGTTCCACACCCCGGTCTAATTCGTTGAAATGTTAAGGTTATTACCTTAAAACGCCCTAGACCGACCCGAATCAACTCCCAGACTAAGGGCCCGTGTCTAATATGCTTCTGTCCTTACAGCATTAAGAATATCACACATTTTCGCGAAAATCCGATATAAATTACGTTTGTTTTTGTTATTGATTCCATTACGTCATACGGTATATTACTTTAAGCTTCTTTTATTCTTGAACAGAAAAGACGAGAAAAAAACTTGAAAATTAAATCGCATCAAAAGGTGTCACTAAATGTTTATCTTTTCAATGATTTGTTTATTCAACAAGTAAATGACGTCCTTTATGACACGTAATCGTACCGGTAGGCAGGTAAAAGTATATTTTCTTAGGCCTTAATTACATATATGAATAAAACCAATACAGTGGATAAAATGCGCCAAAACATGTTTATGTTATAGCGCGCTTGAACACCTTTCCTCAATGAGCTCTACATTTCGATAAATCTATATTTTCTTACATCTTTTCTCATTCGTAAAAGGTGTGAACCACTTTACAGCCCACCCAGCCTGGCCCCTCGGTTGATACTGAAAGGGAAAGTGGCCCTCAGCATCCAGTGGTGTCATTATTGTATATTTTACCTTGGCGACGACTTAAAAAATATTTGCACTTGATGGTCAAGGTCATGGCTATAATACAATTATATAGATGTGGACCAAGGTTCCGTTACATGTCTCAAACGATCTCTCTCTTTCTCTCTCTCTCTCTCTCTCGGAAGGGAGGGGTAATGAGTTAGGACGATCGATATCCACAATATAAAGAAACAATTATATAAAACGGAACATGGACCAGTAAGACCCCACCCCCCATTTCAAAGGGATACCTTTTTCCACTGTAGAATGCCAAATACTCCTTATTTACCAAAACTAAATCATATCATTACCTTTTTCGGTTTCAAATACCGGAATATAAAACTGATAATCCCAGGATTATCACTCGATTTCACTCATATAAAATCCTCTTCTGGTCGTGTATGCATACTACACACTCTCGCCACACTGTTTGATATTATTGACAGAATCCAATCGATAAGATTCAGATTAGCCACAAGCAGACCTGTGTAAGAACATATAGCAAAGGCAAAACATGCATTTTTCAGGCATCAGAACAAAGATAGTTTGTGACTGATCAGCCTAATATGACTTATACATATAAATTTAAAACAGTTAAAATACACGTGTTGTAGAAATTAACGAAATTTGAGATCATTCAAGTAGATTCATAGTGGGAAGATGCGAACTACAAATTGCTAAATTTTAAAAAATCGTCTGGGGAACACATCTGGATACAGCTGGATAATAAAAGAACAAACAAATGTATTAATGGACGAATAAGGTGAATGTGACACATGCAAATCTAAAAGGTATCAAAATGCGTTCAAAATTCGTCTCATTGAAAATTTCGCACTAATAAAATCAACCCGTTTTTGCCTTAAATGAAAAGGTTCAATTTCGTTACAAAATATGGCAGTCTTCCGATGCTCCTCAAAGAGTTATTGGTTTTTAAGTTTTTGGTTTTAAAATGGTGCTTATAGCTGATCATTTTCAAGGGCAGAGCCAAAAATACCAAAACGTTGCTTAGCAACCGTTGCTAGAGAAGAGAATTACCTAAGTAACGTGCTAATTGGACCTTTCTTGTCCAGATTAAATGGTTTAGGAAGGCTGTTTATAATGTTTCAGGACATGAGAACTACCAGTAGAATAGATAAGTAATTAAAAACTGAAATAAACCACAGCAACAGTTGCTAGGTAGCATATTACCCTAGCAACAAGCGTTTAAATTATATAATCTATTTAATAAGGCAAACTTATGTTACTGGCTAGGAACTATTCTATTGATCAAGATATTCATACTTTTGAGACAGTTAGTTGAAACCATTGTGTTAAATTTATACACATCTGATCAAAACAATTGCTGCTGATACTTGAAGGCAGCATATTCAAAGTTAGTAACCAGTCATTTTCAAGTTTGTTATCACCTTACGACAGTTGATGAACCTTTGCCATAGTTTCTCCCTAGCACATTCAATTTAAAGTGCATCAGATGTCATCTCTTCCTCCCACCAAGGCTGCTCTACAGCAACATATTAGAAGAGCAGTCTCGCAAGGTGGATATGGCTGGGGCTAGTACTAAGGAGCCGTACCGTCTAATACCATCTCCCGCTGACTGGTGTACGCCCTTGTGGACACATTTGCCAGAAGCTAGAGTGCACTGTGCAAAAGAGCTGAAGTGTGCCTGTAGGAGCAGATGCACTGGTAGAGACTGGAATGTGTAAGGGCGCTCTTAAAATACACTGTATATTGCACGTTCAAGGGGAATAGTAACGCCTAAACTATGGCAAAGGTTCATAACAGTCCTAAGGTGATAACAAACTTGATAATGACTGGTTACTAACTTTGAATATGTTGCCTCAGCAACTAGTTATGAATATATTGATCAATTTTATAGTTCCTAGCCATTTACGTAGGTTTGCCACAACTCCAAACGCTTATTGCTAGGGTAATATGCTGCCTAGCAACTGTTGCTAAGGCTTATTTCGGTTTTAAATGTCTTAAAATAGTCTACTGATAGTTCGGATATCCTGAAACATTGTAACCAGACTCTCTAAATCATTTAAACTGGACAAGAAAGGTCCGCTTAGCTTGTTATTAAGGCAATCCACTTCCATAGCAACAGTTGCTAAGAAACGCCTTGGTATTTGTGGCACTACCCTTGAAAACGATCAGCATAGTCCAAAGAACATTTGTGTGCAGTTTCATGCTTTTTCCACATTCTGAGAATTTTTTACACAATTAACATGCACTACAGATGTCAGCGCTGCGTGTGGATAGTGGGGAATGCCTATGGTCCAATGATGCTATTTTTTTATTTTACGGATAAAATTAAACCATATCACCAGATGAATTTTTTTCTTCACTCCTGAGTCTGATTTTGTCAAAGAAAGCAACCACTTGGCACTATCAAATATATACAGCTCTTATTCGCATTGCCGCTATTAATACGAACTTTTTTAATGAATGAGTTTTGCCTCGATCAAGTTAATGAAATGACTGAATGAATAAAGTTTAAAAATAAAAAGAAGTGCTAAGATAACTTAACTATTGATATCACATGTTAACCAAAACTTGAAGTAATACATTTAGTAACTTGCGTTCAGTATGTGCATTTGTAAAATATAATTTTACAAAGGGCAAAAAAGAGAGATTTTAAAAATCATCCAGAGAAGAGAATGTAAATGAAACCCTTATTGACTCTTTTTGGAATATTGTGGAGT